CAGATGCTGTACCGCGTGGCAGTGGTTTTGTCTCAGCCTAACGCGTCAAGTAATCAGTTGCGACGATGATCCAATTGTTTCCGGAGTGAGACAAAAGAAACGGTCCAAGGAGGTCCATCCCAACCTGGTCAAACGGCGTACGTGGTGGGTCAATGTGTTGTAGGAGGCCTGCAGGTCTCACATGTGGTGACTTGGGACGCTGACATTCACGGCATCCTTTCACGTAGCGTTTGACACAAGCAGAGAGTTTTGCCCCGAAATGTATCTGTCGTACTTGGTCGAGCGTCCGTGAGTATCCCAGATGGCTGGATATCGGCTCATCGTGGCAGGCTAATAGGATGTCATCACGAAGGTCTTGAGGAACGACTAGAAGATAAGATCTGCTGCCGACACCAGTGTTTTTCTTGTATGATATGCCGTGTCATAAGCAAAATGACGGCAACGTAGGGGAAAGTGGGCGAGGAACGGACGTGGCGCTGCCTTCCAAATGATCGATGATGGACCTTAACTCGGGGTCCACTCGTTGCTTACTGAGGAGGTTCGCCCCGCTGAGAGTCCCCAAGAAGGCACTGTCGTCTTTACAGCTGTATGGTCGGATTCCAGAGGTGCTCGTGATAGTGTGTCGGCGTCTTCATGCTTTCTACCCGACTTGTATACGATGGTGACATCGAACTCGGGAAGTCGCTGACTCCGTCGTGCTAATCGCCCAGACGGGTCTCGGAGGTTAGCCAACCAACATAAACCGTGGTGATCAGTCACAACTTTAAATGGGCGCCCATAGAGATAAGGCCTGAACTTTGTAATCGCCCATATTACCGCGAGACATTCCTTCTCTGACGTTGAATAGATGGTCTCGGCACGTGATAGTGCGGCTCGCGTAGGCAATCACACGTTCGGTCCCATCTTGTGTTTGCACCCAGATAGCTCCGAGACCAATCTTGCTTGCGTCAGTGCGCACCTCTGTGTTAGCGTCCTCATCGAAATGACCAAGTGCAGGAGGGGAAGACAATCGATTTTGCAGTTCCGCAAAGGCAGTCGCTTGTTCGTCCGTCCACATGAATGGGGTGTCGTCACGCGCAAGTCTGATGAGAGGCTCCGCAATCTTATGGAAGTTTTCAATAAAGCGGCGATAGTATGCACCGAGCCCCAGAAAATGTCAAAGACTCTTCTTGTCTGTCGGAGCCACAAAAGCGGCCACAAAAGCGGCCACATCGGCAGTCTTCTCGGGATTGGGCCGAAGGCCTGCAGCGCTCACAACGTGACCCAGGAACTTCAGTTCTTTGTAGCCGAAATGGCACTTCTTAGGCTTGTGGGTAAGGTCAGTGAATCGTATAGATTCAAGAACACTCCTAAGGGGACGAAGGTGCTCGTCAAACGTTTTCCAAAAGACAACGACATCATATAGATAGACGAGGCAACTTTTCCACTTGAGGTCAGTGAGAATGGTATCCATCATTCGTTGAAATGTGGCCGGAGCGGAACAGAGGCCGAATGGGAGCACCTTGAATTCACACAGAACGTCAGGAGTTACAAAAGCCGTTTTTTCGTGGTCACGTTCTTTGATTTCAATTTGCCAATAAGCACTTTTTAGGTCGATTGAGGAAAAGTACTTTGCTCGCCTCAGCCTGTCGAGAAAATCGTCCACTCGAGGCAACGGGTACACGTCTTTCTTTGTGACGTTATTCAGCTTCCTATAATTGACACAAAAGCGAAGTGTGCCATCTTTCTTCTTTACAAGGACCACTGGCGATGACCATGGGCTGCTTGATGGCTGTATTACACCGTCTTGAAGCATTTCCTTCACTTGCTTTTGAATCGCGCGTCGTTCGATTGGTGAAACGTGGTAAAACTGTTGCCGTATAGGGTGCGCGTCCCCGTAGGTGATCATGCGGTGTTTGGTAATCGATGTCTGATGGATTCTCTAAGAACGTGCAAAACAGGCGTGGAATTCTATCAACAAGTCGTTAAGCCTTTGTTTGTTTTCCTCAGAAAGCGTTGAATTTATGTCGACGCCCGGGAGAGATGCTTCGGCATTATCGATTGCCTCGGAAGCAAAACACTCAGTCACATTGGTTACTGGGAAGGCATAGGCGACGAAAGTATCAGGGAAAAAGTATCGGTGCTCGTAGCTGAAGTTTGTAACAAGAACCTCAATCTGGCCAGCCTGGAGGTCTACTAAGCTTCCTGCTACGCAGACAACTTGGGAAAAGAGTAGGGATCAATTACTCTCCGCCACTATTTCACCGTGTGCTGATTTATTACACGCCACTTGAACCATAACACTTGAGCGCGGTGGTATTGTCACATCATCGTCAATTACACGCAGACATACTCGATCGTGGCCGGGATTATGCTCTAGGGCGGCGCTATTTGTTGACAACGTGACGAGGCGTTGTCGAATGTCGACGATAGCACCGTGCTCCCTCAGAAAATCTATGCCAATGTACAGGTCTCGAGAAAACTGACGGAGAACGCTTAAGCTGACAACAAAGGTAAAACCACAAATCTGTATTCGGGCTGTGCAAATGCCGAGTGGCGTGATGATGTGCCCGCCAGCATTACGAACTGGCCTGATGTTTCAAGGCATAATCACTTTCTTCAGAAGAGCAGCCTGTTTTTCACTTAATATAGAAAAATCCACACCCATGTCAACTAAAGCACTGACTTTTCCACCGTCGAGCAGCACTGGAATGTTCAATGAAATCTTTGTGGAACCTGCTGGTGTCGTCGTCATCGGGGAGTCGTCAGTTTGCGGAAGCATCGGTAGGGGGCCTTTAGCTTGTCCAGTATGAGCAGCCTTGCCCCCGAAGATCGCTGTGGTTAGTTTTCTCGGCGTGGACTGGGTGACCGACCCTGCGACACGATCGAATAGGTACTGCAATTATGACAAAAATGCTGCGGTGACGGGGAGCGTGACTTTTGCAAGAATGACGAAGTTCCGCGCTGCTGAGCCACATACTCATCAATTTCAGGGGGCCATTGACCGAACCTGGGGGGAAGGGGCGGTGAGTTCTTGTAAAATCCGCGTAGTCCAAGTTGGCGGTTAGGACGCTGTCGGTGCAGATGCCCAGCTTCGCCACAGTGGAAGCAGAGAGGACGTCGATCTGGCGCATGCCAGACGTCGTGATTTCCGCGAGATCAGGCGAGGTGCGCTGTAATATGGCACCTCGTGGACCGTCTGCAGCATGGCAAGGGCCACGGTGGGATGCGGGATTTCAGGTGTAATAGGTTGCCGCAAAGCTTGAGCATACGACTTGCGGGGGAAGTCACTGGGTGGTTCATAATCTCGCATCAAAGGCGGTTCTCTTAGGGCATGCTGGATTTAGGGCATGCTAGATCTCGGACAACGCTGGACAACGAGGAGATAGTAGGCTGCGAGGGCACAGACAGCTGCTGAAGATCTTCGCGTATCATTGATCTCGCATCAAAGGTGGTTCTCTTAGGGCATGCTAGACTTAGGGCATGCTGGATCTCGGACAACGCTGGACAAAGAGGAGATAGTAGGCTGCGAGGGCACTGACAGCTGCTGAAGTTCTTCGCGGATGATTGAACGTATGAGCTCTCGGAAGAAGTCCGTTTGGCCACCGAACGCTCCCAAGTAGTCCGTAGTTGAAGCGTCGACGTGCCGTTTCTATGACGTGGCCTGCTGCCTAAGAGTGGTTTCCATGGGAACGGCTTCTGTGAGAAATTCTGACACAGTTTTTGGTGGACTGCGTACAAGCCCACCGAAAAGCTGCTCTTCCACCCCGCGCATGAGGTGTCGTACCTTCTTTTCTTCTGCGTGCTGGGGTCAGCTCAGTGGAAAAGACACGTCTTGTCCTCGACATGCATCGCAACTACTTCGTTCGGCATTTTTATGCGGGACTGCAGGTCGCGCTCAGCTCTTTCCCGATGGTCAGGGCTGGCATATGTCCCAAGAAGTCGACATTTGAAGTCTTCCCATGATGTGAGAATACCTGACCGGTTTTCATACCACTCACGTGCGCCGTCCAAAAGACTGAAATAGACGTGCCGGTGTTTGTCTGCGTCATCTCACTGGTTGTGCATGGCAACGAACTCGTAATGCACATGCCAATCTTCTACATCCTCAAGTGCAGTGCCATGAAAAGTTTTTGGTGTTCGCGGTGTGAGTAAGGTGCAATGAAGTGGCATTGTGCCGTTCGTACCAATTGGATTGGTGTCGGTAGGGCTGGTCGGAGCTGTCATGTTGTTTGCGAGCAGTCCAAACTCAGGGGATTGCCCTGGAACTCTTCTGCTGGCGCGGTGCACAGGAGTGACCACTGGTACGACGCTTGATTTTTTGCTATAAAGAGGGGTATGGTGCATAGATCACCCAGCTCGTCCACCAGTTTTTCACGCACCAAAAGCCGTAGAGACAAGACAGGAACAGTGGAGCAGTAAGACACGAGCGTGTATCTTCAAACAAAGCGTGTACACGCACTTCTTTGTTCTCTTAGCCCTTTTCGGCTGGCTAGGGCTTGCTGGCTCACAACTCTAGCTGGCAATATGATGATGGTGTGATTGACCATTGGGAATGAAATAGTCCATGTTGGCTCATGCAGTAGGAAGGAAAGAATTGTACATAAGCCGAAGGAAGTCGTCATGAATGCCGGATATTTGTCATGCATGTTTTCTCAGTAGCTTGCAGCACTGCGCCTTTGTAAAGCTGTCATGTGCGTAATCCATTGGCAAGCAAGAAGCACACGAAGACAGAATACAGTTCACGTGCCATGGGCTTTCTGACTTTGTTGCACCCCCCTTTCTTTTGAGATTTGGCCCTTGTAACGCCACCTTGTAAATGTCGCCTTTGCTTTGATGCTGTCACTTCGTTTGTAGAGTTGCTGGTGGAGGTGTTAATACAAGTCAATGTAATATGATCATTTAGGGGCCGTGAACAGTGTGTGACGCTTTGACTTGAAATAGATGATGCCTGGCAGATTCAACGCTGGAACTAAGAACTCATTGTAGGAACCATAAACGAACAAATCGCTCTCGTCAGGATGCCCCGTGGATGCCAGTCTGGAGTGCCCGTTCAGGGAGCTCGCCGCGTCTGCAACTTTTCCGTGGACCTGGGTGCACCAGCACACATCGTCGACGACCGCTTTGTTTCGTTCAACCTGGACGCCGCGCTCTTCCGACGATCGTGGGACTGGCTAGAGCTTGACCTCGAGTGAGTCCTATCTCTATAACCACTGCTTAGGATAATTGATCCTTGGTATATAGTTGGTTACTATTTGACGACTCCCCTTCTGTAGCGCAGATAAAGCGAACTCAAGGTATACGGTAATAGGGTCTGTAAAGGCTGCAATCGCGGCAGTGTGACACTCGCCGCAATTGCAGTAAAAACAATCGTTCCGTTCAGCTCCATTCTCTCTGTTCGCTACCACCGCTAATAACGCTTTCGTTTTCACATAAGCTGCGAATGGCTCGGCAAGGAAAATTGCTTGCTGCTGTTTTTTTTTCTTGTCGAAGACACTGCGAAAATTTTGAAACGTAATGTAACATTTGGAGAATTATATATTTGCGTTTTCACGAACGGTGATGAAGAGCGTGCATGTTTACTCACGTAAGAACACTTTTCAATCTACGTTTATGTAAAACTGCGCAACAACGGCTATCACTGAAACAAACACGTCAACGCAGTTTAGCAGTCGGGTCCGCCCGGTGCTATTTCGACGGGTGCCGAGCAAAAAGTCACTGGGGTGCTGCGAACAGATCGAATATTTCAACATGTTGGTCACTTGCCACTGACTGTTCTGGTGAGAGCAAATGGCCTTTTTTTTTCGCTGTGAGCAAAATCGTAGCCTGAAAATGGTTACGTTTTGTGTTGCGTGAAACAACCTTGAGGCTGGGTATAGCATAAGTGACACATTAAATAGAAAAATTTACAACTGTACCCGTCCACTGAACGAACTCGCTCGAATGAGATCCAAAGAGATTCCCAAGAAAGAAAGCATTTTAGGGTTCATGCGACAAGTGAGTTGTCAGTTTTTCATTCTCAAAGGAGCAGTGCCATAAAATTTCTACCTCGAGATGCATAGCCATCACTCGATAGCTTGGTATGCAGAAGCAATATTTATCATTAGTTTTTTTTTTGTAAAGCACGTAGGTAGCTTAGAAGTTATCGCATATTGAGGGTAAACAGCATACAAAAGCTCAGCGGGCCATTCAGCACGTTGGTACATTGACACAATGAGGACGGCCCCGCCGCGGTGGTCTAGTGGCTAAGGTACTCGGCTGCTGACCCGTAGGTCACGGGTTCAAATCCCGGCTGCGGCGGCTGCATTTCCGATGGAGGCGGAAATGTTGTAGGCCCGTGTACTCAGATTTGGGTGCACGTTAAAGAACCCCAGGTGGTCGAAATTTCCGGAGCCCTCCACTACGGCGTCTCTCATAATCATATGGTGGTTTTGGGACGTTAAACCCCACATATCAATCAAAACAATTAAGACGCGTTCAGGGCGGCCCAAGTGACGATGCACTATAGCAAGTATAACGTCAAAGACCTCAGCATTGTCATTACGGCGCAGACCGGTGGTGACGCCTCTGAGCGGCTCCATTTTGATTGCTTCTGTTGGTTGTATAAGCCCTGCGTCTGCGCCACACCACTTCGAACAATTTGTCGTCTGCTCGTCAGGGTTTTATAATTGGGAGCGACGACTTGAGCTGCATTATGTGCCAGCATGCCAGGCAGCCGTTGTGCGCAACTTACACTGTAGTGATGTTTAAAGTACCGCGAGAAGGAAGGTGTCACGGACAGCTACGAAGGTCATTTGTAAATGCTGTCAATAAGTACTGCGCATGCAATTTGCGTCTCCCCACGCTTGTGCGTGATGCACTGAACGTTGCTCTTACAGACGCAGAGGCAACGCTGTTCTTTGGAGCATGAGGTTATATGGGCAAAACACGCTAGCACGCATGTCTGACTGAAGAAGCGAGTGGAGGGGAGGGGTTAATGGGAAAATAAAAAGAAAAGTGAGCCCCGAAACTGTTTGCGTCATAGTGCGGCACCTTATCAGAAGCGTACAAGGAAAGGCATAACGAGAGAGCAAAAGTGAGAGTGAAGTAAAGCTTGAAAGAAAATAAAATAAGATAGAGACATGGTCGAAGAAGCGCGGGGACGGGGCACCGATTGGAAAGAGCTACGCTGGCGCCTAGTAGATTGCGTACGACACAATCATTTCAGCACGAAATACATCAAGATATTCTCTGCGTACATGTCTGGAAAGAGAAGCGCAGGAGTCACAATAGTAGTGGTGGTCCTCGAAGAAAGGAAGAAGGCACTTAATTTATGTCTGCCTCTTGGGCGACACGGCGCACTGCCTTGCAGGCATAGGCCGGCGAACTCACTCATATGTGCCGACTCACTCGGACTCACTCAGACTCAGATCAAGCCACGAGTCTGAGTCAGAGTGCGGTGAGTAATGCTTTTGTGAGTTTGGGTCCGAGTGAGTCTGGTTGAAGAAAATTTTCGTGAGTATGAGTTCGAGGGGGCTCTGCTCAGCAAAATTTTGGCGAGTCTGAGTCGGAGGGAGTCCACAAGCGCAAAATGTATCTATTAAGTGAGTCCGAGTCAGTTTCACTTTCTTTTGCCGACCTAAAGTTCTATATAGTGATCTGCAGCACTACTATCAGCCTTACCTGGATTCACATTCATACTCACGTATACCAACAGGTATTTCAAAGTAGTGTCGTTAATGCATCACTTCAATAGTTATTGTTTAAACGCGTGAAATACGTAGGGGATGTGCCTTTGCCTCCCCCCACCCACTCTTCTAGGGATTTTTTCATCATATCTCAGGATGCCAACTCTTAAAAAAAATGACCTCACCGATTTGAAAGGCTTTTCGAAGATGCTATGGCAAGTGGCACAAAGAAGAGCACGCGCTGATTACATAGATATTGGTGTTAAAGAGCATTGATATCACGATCGAAGAAGTTATTCTCGGCTGACGGACTAATAGCGTTAACTCACTCAGACTCACATCGAGTCGTGAGTCTGAGTGAGTTCGGGTGAGTAATGTTTTGTTGAGCTTGAGTCCGAGTGAGTCCCGGCTGAAGAAAACTTTCGTGAGCGTGAGTCCGACTCAAGAAAACTTTCTTAAAGGGCCACTCACCAGGTCCCATAGCGAATTTTAATCAGACAGTGGATTTGTTGGGTGTCCGACTGATAAAATATTTGCCACAAAAATTTTTCGAATCGGTTCATCACGAGCGGAGATAACTGGTTTTTTGAAGCGGTGCGAGAAGGAGGATGGGAGGACGTAAGCTCGAAACCCTTGCTGCTCCTCCGCGTAGCCTTCGCAAGCCAAATCTCTTCTCCCACCCTGTCCAGCATCCCACCATGATGAGAGGACGCTGCGCATGACGTGTCCAAACAAGTCCAACCCCCGAGCACGCGAGCAGCGTTGCTTTGTTGACCAGCGTTATTTTGTGGCCTTCTGACTCTTTCTGCGGGATGGTTTGAAAACACTGGCTTAGACGCGGTAGAGTACATGAGCACAACGATTGCGTGAACGCGTAGGAGCGTTTCACGGCCGTCGTCTGCTCAATGCGCTGACCGCGGGGACACGAACGCATGTGAAACGCTGGCACATTAGCCCCGCATCTCGTAGCATTTCACGGGGAAAACATGTGAAAAAAACGTGCACAGTGTTTTATTGTGTATCGTTATTTATATAAGGTTTTAATAATATCTTAAAGCAACAAATACATAAACTACGCATATTGTGTTAAATAATTTTTCCCATGTCACGTGGTATACTGTCGACAACGTCAGAGCAGACTCGTCTACGTAGAGGACCAACGTCACTGCAATGCCGTGTACGTAGGGCCATTCCTACGCCCCCGTCATGCCCTCATTCTCTACGCGTGCTCCGGCAGAGTGGAGGGTGAGCAGCTTTGATATCAAAATTTGACCCTTTTTCACGGCGCTTAGCGTTGCAAATTTCGGCATACGTGATCATGAACGCCTCGTCTACGCATTGCGCTTGTGAGCTCCAAATAGTCAAATCTGGTGAGTGGCCCTTTAAGTCTTGTGGAGTGAGCTCCACAAGTTTTCCCGACCTGTGCTTCCAGGGGAAGAGATAAAAAAATAAAAGAATAGGAGAAAAAAAAGTTTGCAGCATATCCACAGAGCGAATAATGGAGAGTGGGGCGAAGCATTCGTCCGTCCATGCGTCCGTCTGTGTGACCATCCATGCGTCTGTTCGTGCGCCCGTCCCTGCGTTCGTTCATGCATCCGCCCCTGCGTCCGTTCATGCGTCCATCCATGCATCTGTCTGTGTGTCCATTCGTCCATATATTCAACACTCCAAGTCCCACCATGTCGCATATTTTATCATATATTCCCCATATAGAAAAACCGCCATTTAGTGGACATTCGAAGGACTAAACGAGAGGTGGCACACGCACACTTTCTTACGGCTTGCGCTTCGGGTCTACTTGCCACCTTCAACCACCTTGAGTTCATTGTATATACTAGTTCACTGTATTCTTGGCACTGTGGCCCACTGCTCGCTAAACCTTTCTAAAACCAAGGAGGTTACGCTCAGCGAGTATAACGTAGCAACCTTTTCCTGTCAGATAGTGATCAATGTACATGCCAGTGGCTGCTAATGTGAAATGAGAGACAGGAGGATTCAGCTTTTAGTTTCTTACGGCTTGCGCTTCGTATCTGCTTCCCCCCTTTAACCACCTCGAATTCATTCATGGTATATACTAGTTCATTGTATTCATGGCCCTGCGGCTCAACGCTCGCTAGACCTTTCTAAAACTAAGGAGGTTACACCCAGAGAGTATAATGTAGCAACCCTTTCTTGTCCGATAGTGCTCAATGTACATGCGAACGGCTGCTAATGGGGATCGCAGCGTGCGCGTTGACTAAAATCCGAATGCTCCTGTCTCTCATTCCCCATTAGCAGCCATAGGCATGTACATTGAGCACTAATTTTATTGTTAAACAACGCACAGTAGAAATCTCTCACCGGCACCACCTTGGAGGTCAAAATGTTATACTTGGCACCACCTTGCAGGTCAAAGCGTAAGACTAGTTACATACCACGATGGGACGCGGGACAAACGGGTGCCGCTATAAGGAGCTTTGCCCCTAAATGTGTAGTATTAGGAGAAAGATGTAGAAGACGGGGCACTCATCGTCGCATACGAGAGAGAGATCGACAGTTTAGCGAAAGTGTGTGCGTAGGAGGGGGGGGGGGAGCAGTGAAAGAAGGTGAGCCCGGCGAAGTGTTACACAATCCGCTGACAGGAGTGGTATTCTGAGCAGTGCAGACATAGGGAGCCTTCATGTCTGCACCTATGGGTCTCCGAGGCGCGTACATGAAGGCTTCCGATGCGGACGCATTTCACCTGTGATAGTTTAATTAATCGTTCGTTGTTGTTAGCCACCAGACTGCCCATTTCTTTCTGAACAGAATAGGAACTTGCCCAGTTCACAACATTATTCCTGTTTTGTGTCCTTGCAGCCAGCATAGCCCAAACGTGTGTCTCCAGGTGCCTGCTCGGACCAGCGTCAATTTCAATATCGCCCTTCAATATCGCAAGCGATTATTCGTCACGTCGCGAATCGCAATAATTTCATATTCGTCAATGTTTTCTGTTATCACTTGTAGACACTGATGACGACAGTGACGGTGGTGGTGAGGAGATTACGAATGCACATGCGTGCCTAGCAGATGAAATGTCAGCTGAAGCTAGCGCCGCTGTTTCGTGTGGCCACGTCATCAGATGGCGTATGACTTCGGGAGGTGACCAGCGCGCCAGCGCTACAAATTGGCGGGATTTGCAACGCACTTAGAAAATCACTCGATACTGGTCATATCAATCAATGTTACAGATATTTATTCACCCATAGTTGCATTATCAGTAGCAAGTCGTTACTGGGGGGTCGATAACTAAACATGGACGCAAAAGTCGCGACGTGCATGAAGGTTATGTCACTGCTCCTTTAGTATAACCGCCATAAAGCGCAAACGCTTGTGCATGTCCTGCTAGACCCTCGTGCCCCCTGCTTGAGCCACTATCGTCGGGGTTAAATAGCAGTATTGAATATAAATAAATAAATAAATAAATAAATAAATACAAAAGAAAAAATGATCTGTATAATTAGATGTTGGTTAGTCATGAAAAAAAAACTGTTTCGGCTTAAACATATAAAAGATTACAAGAGTAATAACAAAACACATTAAATCTGGCCATAAAACTTCATACAAAATTTGAATGCTGTGGTGCATACAAATAAAATGTTGTTAGTGAAGATTGTCCGCAGATATGGCCGTCATTTTTCGAACATCGCCTATTCTTTCCATTACTGGGGAGCAAAAGTCGCGTATAAGCATATGAACTCAGTATGACCCAAGCATAACAGAGTTGTTTTTGAAGTCGACTAACTCTACTGTTGTACGTACAGCCGACCAATTCTTCACATACATAGCATGCGCAGCGGTGACTATATTGTGTTAGCAGTGCCATTTCATGACAAAAAAATATAGAACAAAGTTGTTCTGCGTGCCCATGCTTTGTGGAGCACTTGCTTTCGCCCTGTTTAAATGCCAAGCAGATTATGATCAGGGATTGTCCCTTTTCTGTCGCCGTCAGGGTTACTACTGACTTTCGAGAGAAGTTCGCCGAACTATCATCAAAATGTCAGCAAAATGTCACCATTTTCTTTCGAATTGCGCCAAAAACATCCCCACTTACTTATGTGTGGCGTTCATAGTAATGAAAACTCCGAATTTATATGACATCGTGGAGTATGGTACCATCTATAAATTCTGAATCACACTGACGTTTTTCAATGCCAGTCACATCACCCGCTTCACAATTGCAGCACTGAGAAACGACATGCATTCATTAGTAGCGCTCCTGAGTGCTAGCTCCCCATAACAAAAGTTTGTGATGGTTTGATCTGTAGTGAACACAGGATGAAGCAGTCACGACAACTAGAGATGGACACCGCAGACAGCCCTGCTGCAAATGTAGAGAATTTCAGAGCAGTGGAATCCTGAATCCGACAATCGAACTCGATTACAGAGCAACGGGAATAAATTTTAAAGTAATGCGTAACTGTCGCAATGCCCGCGCCACTCTTTCTATGCGGTCATGTTTACGCTACACATTCACCTCACTGCAGTTGCAGAAGACCACCTGAAGGAACCCGACTTTTTGGTCCTCCCGAAAAGTATGTTGATAAATTTAAACTCTACACACTAAATTAGAGGGTACTACAGCAGTGACAACCTATTCAAGACAGTGGAAACCGTGGTCGAAACACGCACCATTGCTGAGTCACTACAGAAGTGATACTTTCAAGAAATCAAAAAAGCCCCCCCCCCCCCCAAAAAAAAAAGCGCAGTATAACACCCCCGTCTCACGAAGCAGTCTAATGACGTAAATTTGGCTGGGAGTTTGCTGATGGATCCACCTGAGCCTCCAGGATTTAGGTGAGCTAGGAGATACACACGAGAAACGAGGACAGACGTACTGAATTGCGCCTTCTGCCGGAGCGTCTAAAGCTACGAAAATGAGAAGAAATGTTGTCACTGAACTTTTTAAAGACACTGTAAGTACAATGCATAATTCAGCCAACACACTAAACCAAAGATCGCCAGAAATTCGCCACGTCGCCATTAATAATTTTAGGTCACCATGGGCCTCTGAAATTCGTCAATTTGGCGAAAAGTAGCTAGCAGTGGCGACCCTGGTCGCCGTAGCCACGCTAGTACTCGGAACACCCACTATATATGGATTTGCGGTAGCGCGCTCGCCCTGCAGTTCGGTGCGTGCTCTGGTATGAGTGGAGACCACTTGCGGCGCTACGCTGCTGTGTGTAATAAAAACGCTTGCTCCTCACACATACAGTGACAGCAGTAAGAATGAAAACATGAGCATAGGTTCGGCGGAGGCGAAGTCTTTCAAAGCGGCTGTGTGCGCAACCATTACCATAAATAGTGACGAATAAGAAGCACCTCATACGGTAATTTAAGAAGAACCATGGCTGCTACGCATACTACTCAGTATTCTCTTTACGGGGAGATGTGTGCGATTTCGTTTTTAGAACTGAAGTCATACGGTGAAGATACAAAAGAAATTCCGCATATGCGCGAAATGAATGATGAAGAAGGAGCTTGCTGCAGAGGCCGAATGCGGTAAACTGTTAATTTTTTGAATTTTTTTGAATTGAAAGTTTATTTTGCCCTAAAAAAACTTACAGGAGCAGGAGCACAGACAGAAGGCTATACAGCCTGACAAAGGGTCTCGGCTTCTAAATTCTCCGCACATATGCGCAATTATCGTCATACAAGGACGTGACACGAGAGTTGTTGCGGTGTAATTGTATGTACACATTATATACACAATGTTTATTATTTACATATCTATGTACTATATACAAATATTTACATACCGATGCAGTCTATATATTTTGCTCAAGAACCTATTTACGGATCACATAAGCTTGCAGGAACGTTTCCTTTTAGCATAATGGCTTTGTAATTCATAAAGTACAAAGCCAGAGGATCTTGAAATATAAGATGCAGTATAAAGTTCGAGAAGGGCTCCGACGGCGAGCCCGCGCTGCAGCTGCATTTCAAGCCCTTCACGCCACCGCCTTGGCTTCTAAGGTGTTCATAGTGGGTAGCGGTATCGACGCGCACTGAGTGATCTGCGGCGAAAGAAAAGGGAAGCACGCCGAGAGCGAGCGCTATATATAGGCGTGGCCACCTAGTCGTCTACTACCAACTAGAATACGCGCCGAGAGTAGAGCGAGCGTCACCTGAGCGGCAGCGCGCCATCCAGTGAATATCTTTAAAACGAAGAGTCCAGCTGCGCCTCTAGTGGTAGCAATGAGAACTAGCGTACACTACGGTGCAACGACGAGAGGCAACCCCTCAGCAAAAGGAGCAAGCTCCTAAAGCTTGCGCTAGTTAGAGATTTGGGTGACTGTACGTGCAGCTTGCCTGAAGGGGAAGACACGTGCTACTACTACCGTTTATCACAGGAACCCTCGCTTGCTGGCACTGTGTCGATCCCTGGCGCCGAGCGTACTCCGTGTCGGAGGCACCACGAGCAACCTGCTGCTGTTCAGTGAGAAGAACCGCACCACGCCGGACCCGGTGCGCGACTGGCAGAACAACGTGCTCTACCCGGAGTACAAGGGACCGCTCGTCATGCATGGTAGGCAATACGCATAGACACGCATGCGCATAGATCAGCATGGTGGCATCCGGAAGACGGTATTTGTCCCTTCGAGCAAACTTCAAACAGAAAAAAAGTTAAAAAAGAAGGAAACTGTATGTACTGTGTATGGGAAAGCCAGACGGTGACTTGAGGACTCAAGGTCGGTGCGTCACTATGGAGTAAATCAGCGGAAGGTAGGGGGCGCACTGAGTCACTACAACACGCACCTTGTCAGCTTCAAATGGCCCTGTATGGACCTTTTTTTACGGAGCGGAGCATTTTTTCCATAGGAAGTGTTGCAATCATGTGAAAGATGCTTTCCTCAACCTTAACTTTCCCGGTTTTCTTCAATTCAATGCTCTATTGTTGCTCACTATTGCAATTTACAAGTCGGATCTTTAGGTTTCACGTTGCCTGCATGTGCGCTGTAGCCTTTCCAATACGGTATGCGGGCAGCCGGAACATATTAATCGCGAAACGTTTCTTGGCTGAAATAAAGTAGCCATAATAATTACTAAGCAATTATTGAATAGTTTTCTCAATGAAGTCTTGTGCAGCACTGATCGAATGCCGCAAGAAGTTTTAGAATTCTCCAAGTATAGGCACAGTCACCAGGATTTGTCGCACGCTTCAAGCGCTTTCTTTCTCTCCTTTCATACTAGCCTGTATGCTGAAAACTACGCTGAACAGTAGTTTGGTGTTCGCGGTTCGCCACTTTACCCGATTGTCCAGCAACCATGCCACGCAACAAGCTTGCCGCTGCCACTCTGACACGGTGATCGTGACGGCTCTCGAAATCCACTGTGATTCGCCTTGTAACAGGACCACACGATTTCACAATAAAGCTTGCACTTTCCTATTGAGAATCAAGTATTTAGGAACAGCCACTCATCGAGCTTATTCAGCCAGCACCACCACAGTGGCACATCCTAGATCAACAGTGTGTCATCGAGTCTTCTAGTATATTTACTAAAATACGATATTTGCTCAAATACGTTCTTCCTTCTCGAAACGTTTGACTAGACGTTTTGAAGCTCCCAGTGTAATAATGCCAGCTTCTCGTCCCTAGTTGGGCCCAGCATAGATTCCCACAGTGCGTGGAATCTACCACTATTAGCAACTTGCTCGTTATGACTGCCAGTTGGGCAAGTTGGTGTAAGCTCATAATAAAACAAGTGCCAGCAAGCACGAACACTCAGAAAGGACACAGGACGAGCGCCTACCAACAACTGAAAGTTTTTATTTTTCGAAACGAAGCGCCCATTGCAACAATGCTAGCTTCTCACCCCTAGCTCGGCAGAGCATAGATTCCGAGAGTGCGCAGGATCTACTAATCTTTAACAACTTGCTCGGGAAGCTTCTTATGATGATGACCAGTAGGGCATGTTGGTACAAGTTCATGATGAGAGAAGAGGCAATAAATACGAACACTCAGAAATCACACAAGACGAGCGCTTACATAGCAACTGAAAAGTTGTTATTGTTAGAAACGAACACTCATGCGTATCACACATGTACATCACGAAAAACTACCCTATTATCATCAACAACGTGAAATAACGAAAGATCACTCGTGTATTCGGTAGCATACAACCGGTAAAAAGGCGTGTTGAGCCCCCCCCCCCCCCAAAAAAAAAAAAAAACTTCAAGAAACCAAGAAAAAAAATGCACTAAGTCATGTTACGTCCAAAAAAGCAAATTCAAAATTTGTTGAGAGAAAAGACGACTGGCTCACGCACTTATCACATTAAAAAATGGCAGGAGCTATGTTGAGTGAAAAAAAAGTCATTTAAGGAATATCATTCACGTGTGAAAGAAATACGTCGGTCAATCAAGTCGTTGCCTGAAATTCCGCCTTTGTGAACATGGCAGTTCCCGGAAGGGGGCCCCAGACTCACATTTAGCGAAGCATTGCAAGGAGTGCACTTGCCAGTCAAAACTTTCTGACGCACAAATAATTGATAAGAACAAGAAGTGGGTGAGAAGTAATGGAAGCGTATAAAATTAGAGAGGCGACAAGTGCGTCAGCCACGCGTTTATTCTGCCAACAGATTGTGACTTTGCTTGTTTGGACGTAATATGACTTAGTGCATTTACTTGTTTTTTCTTTTTTTTCTTGGGGGAGATTAAGGCCCGTTTTTTGGTTCTATGCAATCGATTGTAAGGGTGCTCTTTCGTCATTTCACGTTGTTGATGGCAACAGGTGGTTTGTGGGGACATGCATAGAGTGCATATATGAGAGTGTTCGTTCTGAAAAAAAAACATTTCGTTTCCTAATAAGCCCTCGTTCGGTGTCCTTTTTGAGGGTTCGCACTTATTGGCGCTTGTTTCATCATGAAGCTGCTTATGCTCGCACCCTGTCCGGCGGCGGTGGCGGCCGGCATGTACATCAGTGTTGCCAGTGCACACTACTCCGGTCACCGCTCACGGTGTTCTCTCTGTTGATTACAACAATGGTCATTAGATGGCACGCCGCTGCCCAAGATGTTGGCTTTCCGCTCGACCAAGTTTGCTTTGCTCTTTTGAACGTGTGGTCGCTCAACAAACATGCTCAGGACATAGAGCATGATCCCGTCCTGAACGCAGCCGACGTGCTCGGCTTCACGGAGACATGGAACGCTTGAAACATGCACATCAATGGGTTTCCAGCCATCTGCAGTAAAGAAACGGGGCGTCCTGCGGGCGGTGTCGAGATCTACGTCAAGCTACCTGATACGGCTGAAAATCTCACGTTTCCAATAACCAGTGATTGCCGTAATGGGGAGCATGCCGCTGTTAAGCTCTCATCCGGTATAGCAGTCATAGCCATGACACCGAACGTGTCAGCAGGTGGCCTCACCAAGTACACCGAGAAGGCATTGCAGCGTTACAGGACTGAGGTCAAACACGCTCCCTTCATGCTCGTCAGAGATCTGAACATTGATATTATGCAAAGCGATCATCATCGAGCGAAGCCTTTCTTGTACTTTTCAGAACATCTTTTGTGTATTTAAAATGCATACAGTTCATGAAAATGCATGCTGTGCATCTAGAGGTAAGTTAGTAAAGATTGTGTATGTAATGTATATATAACAGCGTCGTCCCGTCTATCTACGATGGTGGGAAGTGTGTACGAAGGATTCGTGGTTTACCGATTCATCACCGTGCAAGCTCCTCTAACATCTTTCCGTTTGTGGATATAGCGGGGACTTTTTCTAATATCTGATTAACGTCACTCAGACATTTTCTTTCACCAGGCGACGACTGGATTCGTCTGAACTCGTTCGTGAAGGCCGTCGGCTGGGAGCTTCTGTTCAGTCTCAATGGACTGAACAGGCGCAGCGGAGCCTGGGACTCATCGAACGCCGTGCGCCTGTTGCGGTTCAGCGACTTGCTCAAGCTTAAGGTGCACTGGCAGCTCGGAAGTGGTAAGTGCTGCTGACGGCTGCCCAAGATGTCCCGTTCCCCATCTGTCGTGACGTTGCCTTGGCGGCTGAGCTCTGCCGAATACCACGGCGAAGAGGTGTATGGCAGAGCCCGAGGTACCGCCCTCATAGGGCGATTCTAGTTGAAATGCCACCAAAAGAATCATTGAGTTTCTACATTTTCAAGCGGACTCCCGGCAGGTTCTCAGCAGCAGGCCACGCGGTCACTCTTCTGAGCAGACATCGGTAACTACGGCTCGGATGGCCGGCCACTGATGCTCTGCGCGGCTTGTGAAGCCTTTCTCGAGGCAGGCGGCGCTAGCTTCCGTATCAAACGCTGGCAGTTGTTGTTGAAGTGCGTGAGAATGGTGTGTTGCCGGTATTCTTTATGCTTAGGTGAAAATAGGAAAACAGAGAACCCCCTTCCGTACTACATTCTACCATACTTAGGTATATTTATCAAGACGCTATTACTACGAAAACCATGTTACATGGAGAATAACTAGTATTGAGTGGAAGATTGAGAAGAATATGGGAGCATCAATCCAAAGCTAGTGTTTTGTTAATGCAAGGCAAATGCTTTTCGAAAAAAGAAACTTTTGCTTTTACTTCAAGTGCGCTTATGAAAACGTTGACTCGAAGCCCATAGGCTTGCGCACGGGGGAGAGGCAGGGGGGGGGGGTCTTAGTCGCCTAGTATGAAGGGAGGCACAAGGGAGGCGCCTAGTATGAAGGGAGTACCATATATTAGCATAATAAATAGATCTGAGCTCTGCGACAAACCTTACCCCACACCCCCCCACACCCCCCCCCCCCCTTTGTAGGGAGACCCTGCACACGCCTATATATGTCCAGGCTAACAACACTTCTAGTGTTGGACCACTTCTAAAGTCTATCCCTTGACGTTACTACGTCTTATGAACACGCACGTTTTCGACGACACTGCTGGCTTAAGACCCTTCGTGTTAAGTTCCAAGAAATGGTTCCGTACTTTTTTTTACTCCTATAAAGCCACGGTGCAAGGGCAGGTGATTCAGAGAAGCAGGCAATGTTTTTTTTTTCATCCATTGAAAATTCCGTAGTTCCCCTCTCCCTCCCTGAAATTGGGAGCCGTGCGTATGCCTATTGAAGTTCACATTGACACAGGAAACACATAGTCTGAGTGGTCAATAGTTGGTCTCTTGTCGTATGAGCGTGTTGCGGCTAACGCCACACCATAGTTTTTTTTTCTTGAACATATTTGGTTATACCGTGGGGATGCTGATGCATGAGCAGCTCCTAATGAGACACACGCTTGAACACGTAGAACTGGAGGCCACCGGTTTGGTGCATGCGGATGAGCTGGCTCGCGACTACAGTGCCCTGCGGCACCTGCTACTCTTTTGGCCGGCGAAGGGCAACCTTGTGGGTCCAGACATTGGAGACACCTCACCGGATGCCCTCGCATTCCTCGACGGGTGAGTGGCGAAACGGCTACATGTACAACACGGCGAAATCAGTTTCAAACACGTACACTTCATCGACAATATTTCTTGCCAGCCTGGTAGATGCATGCGAAAAGAAAAAAATCTGCAACTTTTGCAAATTTATCAATTCTAAAGACTTAAAATATCAAGGGTTGTTTTTTAAGACCAAAACGATTACACTTTGATCTATACCCAATGGCAATACACCGTACAATGAGAGAAAAAAAAGCGAATTACTGCATATACCTCGCACCATCGGCAAAAAAATTGTGGTTCACCATGCAAAATGAAGAACCGCACAGCTATATATATGTAGTGCCATCATCACCATCGTCATTTTTTCCATCACCGCGCCGCGTCTCTCGCGCAGCTGGCGCGAGCTCGAGCTGCGCGAGAATTAGAACGAGCTGACACGCCTGGCGTGGCGGACGCTGGTAGCCGACGTGGCTCCGCTTCAGGCCTGCAATAAAGTGGCGAGATTGGCACGGCCCCATCGGCCGCCTTCGACGTCATCTCACGTCTCCTCTTCTCTCGCCGCTACATTGGTGACCCGGAGAACACGCCCTTCGCCGAGCGGCCCGCGGCCATGTTCCCCCAACTCTGCCCACCAGTGCCGCCGTACCAATCAACTTACCCCAAGGTATGGTTTATGCAGCTCGACGCCGTTCTTGCGGTGAATGGCATCACGGACCAGCTGCTAATGCATGCCATTCTTCTCGACGCCCTACCGGTCGAGTTGCGCCATCTCGCTGCCACTTCAAGCACCAGCCCGCAGCCTTACGATTCCCTCTGCACTGCGGTGCTCGCCCGCAGCGGCAACACATACCGTCCGCTTCCGTTTACCCGCACCAGGCAGGTTTCCCCGGCGTCGCAGAGCAAGGTACGAACCGGTCCGCAGCCCTCCACTGACCGCTACCTCGGTACCCCGGCTTCGACTACTTCTACACCTGATCCGGTCGCAGAAACATCCACTCCTGCACCTGATCACGACCTCGAGGTAGAAGACTCCCCCACTGCGACTGACCTTCCTTCCGAGAGGTACATTCCCTCAGAGCCCCCGTGCAAAGCTTCATCACACGTACCTGCTACCTGCACGTTTTCCAAGAAAGCGACGGCACGCGACACCGTGGCCCTCGCCGTTTCCGCGACCACCAGCTCAGACGTCTTGGCCTCCTCCTCGCCGCAGCTGCTGGTCAGCTCCTCGACGGTGCCCCCTGCCGCTCCGCCACCTGCCACTGGTGCCAGCAATGGCCTGCCGGGTGCCTCGCCACATTCCACTCGCACCTACCCGGCCAGCAGCCGACCACACTCGGCGTCCCCGCTCCCCGCCCCTGTCGCTGTCTCTGTTTCGTGGTCTACGACGGGCCCCAGCGCCGTGCCTTCGCGGAGCCAGAGCCTGCCCTCAATGCTCGCCCGCAATGGCCTCACGTACCAACCGCTTCCAGGGGCCCGCGACTTTGGGGTTGTCACTGCGTCGCAACGTGTGCTACCAACCGTGGCCCCACCAGGCTCCATGACGGCCACCTTGCCGCCCGCCTCGGAGCCTGGCACAGGTGACCTTTCACCCGTTATCGACCTCCCGACTTCCTCTCGTCTGGCCACTAGCGACGCGTGTCCCGCGTACGAACTGCCTACACCATCTGTCGAGCCAACTGAACTATCTACGACATCTGTCGAGCCAACTGAACTGTCTCCGACCCCTGTCGAGCCAACTGAAGTGCCTACGACATCTGTGGAGCCAACTCAACTGCCTACGACATCTGTCGAGCCAACTGAGCTGCCTACGACGTCTGACCAGCCAACTGAACTGTCTATGACGTCTGTCAAGTCAACCGACCTAACTACAACCACTGTGGAGCCAACTGAAAGCATGGAAACAAGCACTGCCACCAGTCCACCAGCGTCGAATACCTCGACAGTGACTGAGGCGACAACTGAACCCGTCTTTCCTGCACAGCCTCCCATGACGCCATTTCCCGTGGTACGCGTATTCGGCACGGCGACTAACGAGTCGCAGCCGCTGCCTGCGGACGGCGTGTGTGACTATACCTTCTACGACGGCCTCTACGACACGGGCCCGTTTGACACGCTTTACAGCCCGCACTTTAGTGCACCAGTTGAGCACGTTCTCAGTCACGCGTCGCTTCACAGCGTCACTGAGTACGGCCTCTCTTTCGCCTACAGAAACGCATCGCAAGTGGCGCGAGACCTCGAAATTCCAGAGGTGTTTTCCAAGATTGAAGACCTCTGGGACCGAGCCATCCGCCATTACGGATTTCTTTCCATCGAGCGCCTACTTCTTCGTCCACTGCGCAACTCTCAGTGTCGCCCACCAGAGACCCACTGGTTCCCGATTGTCACTACACGTTGACAAACTGGACTTGCCAAAGGAACACTTTATGGACTGCCGTTCATGTACATAGCATTTGTCGCCCTCTTTCTTTTTTTCATATGCGTTCAAATCGCGCAAAGCGCTAGGGGGGGAGCCCTGTAGTGCCATCATCACCATCGTCATTTTTTCCATCACCGCGCCGCGTCTCTCGCGCAGCTGGCGCGAGCTCGAGCTGCGCGAGAATTAGAACGAGCTGACACGCCTGGCGTGGCGGACGCTGGTAGCCGACGTGGCTCCGCTTCAGGCCTGCAATAAAGTGGCGAGATTGGCACGGCCCCATCGGCCGCCTTCGACGTCATCTCACGTCTCCTCTTCTCTCGCCGCTACATATAAAACCTTTTAGCTCGAACTATAGCTCTGTTACACCCACCTTCCCGTTCTCGTTAATTTCCGAGGTCAGGTAGGCAAACACAAAGGTGTAAGAAGGCTTAGTAGGAGAAGCATGATGGCTGCACACGCGCTGCGGGGGCATGTTTTGTTATTTGCAATGACGGTAGGGCTCCGGCCCCACCCTAAAACAGGCCAAGCCGGTGTTCGGTCTCAGAATTTTACTGTGCCACAATGCGCGCAAGGTCGGGTGCCCGAAGTCTATCGTCTCGTTTGCAGAACGGTGTTGTCGGACATTACAATAAGTGAGCAAGAGCGCACACGGTCAGGATTAAATATTGCCTATCCTTTGTCGCTGGACGGCGATCGAGGGCGCTTAACACTCTAAGACCTAGTACAACGATGGTGTCGGCGCAGCAAGTTGCGCATACAGAACTCACTGTTTCTAAATATTTTCCATGGAATTTCAAGTGCTATGTGCGCCGCTATTTACGTCAGTTTAATAGATGTGCGAACTGACGACTGAAGCTGTACTGCAGCTAGTTGACCGCTGATTTGAAAGGGTAGAAGCGTTCGTTGGAAGACAGCTGTTTGTCTCTAAGTGCCAATGCACTCTCACGGCTGGAACGTCATAACACTCACAAATTATACGTACCGAGCCAGGTTTTCGAACTATTAAAATACATGCGCTGAATTGTGTTCCCGCATGTCCTCATGCTCGTGCCTGCTTCTTATTGCGAACAACGGGTCATTCATTGCCCACCTATAGGGCACGCAGCGTTCGCACCTTGTCGCCTTTCTGTATGAATGCAGAGCACATTAGTTTTACAATCTGATATGGATGCTCAATTGAAAACCGGCAATCACGAATGCAGTATCAACAAATGATAGACGTAACGTTTAGAGACAGGGAGATTATGGTGAGGACTAGAGGGCAGAAGGCAGCCGACATGCTAGTCGTGTTCAAGGAAAATAACTGAAGTTTGTCGGGCTGTGTAATGCGTACAGTCATTCGAGAATGCAATTAGTACTATCAGAACAAAATGCGACAGCAGAAACCATTTCTGTGGGTCCATGCAAGCTATCCTCGAATAAGAAACAAAACAACAACATCAACAAACAAAGCGTCTTTTTTGAAGATACGCTATGTCTCGTGAAAGCAGCTCCTCGTAATTTTCTGTTTGCTTCAGCATATAACGGTTTCACATGGAAGTGGAGCTGACTTATAATTTTTCTTTGCCATGGCATAGCTATAAAGCTGTCGTTGCAATTTTATAAGATATATACTTTGTTCTCGCTTCCATACTTGAAGAGCAAGCATAGTTAAATGTACGCGAAATATTACTGCAGACCGCACAACATACTGGCAAGTTGCCGAGACCGAATTCGCATGACATTTGATTTGAACCATTTTTTTGCCAGTGTAGAAGAAAGCGCACCTACTTCACGCAGCATGTCGTGTTTATGGCGCTCCCAATTTTTCCATCTCCCTGCAAGGGGACTGTATTCACTTTAACCAGTCCACAAGGTTTCTTCGAAATATCCATGGCTGAGAACCATGGGGTTAGACACAGTATTGATCTTTATTCTGCAGTACTTGTAAAGTTGACTGGTCGAAAATGTTCATAATGATGTAAAATTTTGGGTAAATAAGAGAAAAAAACTTCAAGTTTTCTATCAGATCTCGTTTGGAATTCCATGAGTACGCCTGCTGTCTGTTTTGGCTGATAACTCCCAGAAACAAAGGCAGTCTGCGAGGATGTAGTTGAAGTTGTGGCGTTAAGAAGTTGACCAAGGGGCAATGAAAATAAATCAACAGAGTGTAAATTTTTGTGGAGCTTCTTAACAAAGTGTGGTAGTGCCTGCTCGCATTCTCTTTTGCCTGAACTATTCGGAGCGTTCATGGCCTGCGACCTTAACAGACGAAGTGTTCGTGGTCTGTTATTAGATGCGAAGCAGCTGTTTGAATCAAGTGTGTAATGCCTTACGTACGTGCATCCGTATAACCGCACCGCAACGCGTTCCCCTCGCCGCAGGTGTTGGAGTTGGGCCAAGTAGGTTAATCACTAACTCACTGAAACACGCCACATTTGCGCACTTACGTGACGTTTCCCTCACACGCTTCTCTCGCACATGCGCACTGACGTCACTCTCATCCTCACCCGCAGCACGCTCGCCGCAGCGCCCACAGTTTGCAGCTCCACCGCCCGCTGGCAGCACATTTCTCGCTCGCTTCACCCTCTCCACAGCCCGCAAAGCTCAACCACACGTC